TCATCTGGGCTAGGAAGCACGTGGAAATCCAGAGGCGAAGACAAGGTTCCTGCCCTAACAGAGCTCATGCCCTGAGCACTGAGAGAGAGAGAGACATGCACCAGCTTACTGAAGAGATCACAACAATGGCCACGTCCAGAGTTGTTAGAGGAGGAGTTGAATTTGGTCTTTGTGATCAGGGGAAGCTGCCTGGAGGAGGAAGATCCTGAGCTGAGTCTTAAGGAGGCTTTCCAGGTAGAGGAGGCAGCATGAATAAAGGCATGGAAAAGACTAGAAATAGCACATATGTGCCTGTGTGCTTTGGGCAGTGGTGTGCTGGCAGATACTTAACAACTCTCCAAACAAAACGAAAAAACCACTCACCTGATTTGTAGCAGTTGCCAATTTCCATGGTGTAAATATTCTCACCATGGCCAATTTCAAGCTACCGATGTGATGTCACTGAATGTGAATTTGAGAAGAGATGTGCACAATGGGCTTTTGAGAGCTAGTATAAGTGGGCTGCACCACACCATCGGCTTTAGGGGCTCAGGCTGGGGGTGAGAGAATAGAAAAACAATTCAGTATTACTGGAGAGAAAATTCAGGGCAGCTAAGGGCCTGCTTTGGCTGATGACTTGTGGTTTTTCTCTGAATATCCTTTAAGAGTCCGTGATACACTCATTCAGAAAATCAACAAGCATTTCGGTCACACCTGCTGTGTGCCAAGCACTGTGCTAGTTCTAGGGATACGTAGATCACGATGCGTGAAAAGCCATGGATGTAGGGATGGTAACAACGAATCCTTTGAATGCTTCTACCATAGAGCATAGATCGGAGCCAGTAATTATCAACAAGGCAATTGTAAATACGACTTTGCCTCCCAGCAAGCCCACCAGATCCTTCACATCCACACCTGGACTCCATCTTTTGGGAAATCTGATGCAGAAGGTCTAGGATAAGGCATGGGCATTCCACGTTTTGGAAGCCCGGGGAACTCTGACTATGGGTTGGGTGCCTAACTCAGGTCTTGGAAGAGAATCTGGCCTCTAAGTTGCTTCCTGTTCCCTCTCAACCCCGACATTAGGACACACACAAGTCTTGTCCCCCCCTAAGATCGACCCCCTCTCTCACTTCTGGAGGATGGCTCATTCCCCATAATTGTTCAGCAAATGACTCCAGAATACACAAAAATCATTTTGTTGCAACACATTCCGTTCTATAATGACATCATTTCAATTAGCTGGCAGAGCCTGAAATAGAGCTGCACGGTACTGCTCGGGTAAATCACCACCTTGGTTTGAAAGTGGATTTAAGGCAGCCGGGGTGGGGGGTGGGGGGCGAGTGGACAGAGGGGATAAATATTTCATCATTTCTTCCCTTCTTGATGTTCTGCCAGTTTGTTCTCATTTCCATGCTTCTCCCCCTGCACGCCGGCAGATTGCAGACTGTAAATTTGAGGGGAAGTAGTAAATGTGCAAACGTGATAAATAAACATGTTGGTTTTGCGGGGACGGATATTATTATCATCCAGATTTACAGCTCTCCTCGCCTGCATGCTTTATTGCATTTGGGGAAAAGCAGAGCGAGGTTCTCATGTTACATTGATCAACTTTCTGCCCTTCACCCCCGTAACCCGCTCTGAGTCATTTAAATATCAACCTAGGCCAGGGACACAATCCGTCTCCCTGGGAGTGACTGCATCTTGACAGGTGTTTTCTTTGGGGATAGTTATAGCTGCAAAAGCTATCATCCTGTAGGGTGCTTTTGTTTCCTCCCTCCCCCTTTGTCATTTCTCTAAAACTGAACATATTTTTGTTTTCCCAGTAGGAAAAAGTGCCAGATGGATGATTTAAATCTCTCTCTCTTCCTGTCTCCTTCTCTGCCTGTCTCTTTATATTCTACCCTCTTCTGTCTTCCATCTTCGGGACAGGTTCTGGATCCTTCGAATCCAAGTGTCACCACCAACTTTTGGGCCACACGATCAAATGACTTACCGTCCCTGAGTCTCTCACCACCCTCGGGGCTGTGCTTTTTTCTCCGGGGCTCCTTGTTGCCAATTTGTAGGGAGAATTGAGTGAGAGATTTCTGTCTGTTGCCACCTTCCCTCCCGCAACGTCACCCCAACTAGATGGTGAACTCTTGGGGACAGGGAGCTATGTCAGTTTACCATACCCCCACCCCCACCTGCTCCTCTGCCCCCTGTTCTCCATCTCAGTCAAAGGACCTCCTTCTGGAGATGCACAGACAGAATCTTGGTGCCCCCTTACCTTCCTGGCCACCTCCCCTTCCCTGAATCCAGCCTGTCACCAGGTCCTGTGGACTCCTTCCCCAGCTGTCTCCACTCTCTCTGCCTCTCTCTGACCCCACAGCCCCTCTATTTTTTTTTGAGTGTCCCCAAAGTGCCAGGAACTGAGCTGGTCTCTGACCGCTGTCCCCTCTCAAGGGGACCAATACAGCAGCGTCTATAGCAACTGTCCCATCTCCAGGCTTGCCCCCCGCCCTCTCAGTACTTACTGTAATAGCTAAGGGATGGGGCAGTGGAGCGCGTGCCTGCAGATTCTGTTGCTAAGGAAACCACTTCCTTGGTTACCGGCCTGGGTAGCATTTGTCTCACTGGGTCTGGATCCCACTGAGTCGCCCCCACTCTCCAGGACGATGAGGAGGAAGAGGTGGGAGAGAACAACAGGGGTGGGGAGGACGGGAGACAGGGAGCAATAGACAGGCAGAGACACAGAGCTTAAGAGAGACAGGGAGAGAGTTGCTTGCACAAAGAGAAGCAGAAGTCAAGAAAGAGATTACGATGGAAGAGAGAGAGAGATTCAGGGGTGGGGGGAGGGAGAGAGAGAGGAGAAAGACAAGAAAGAAAAGAGGTTTAATGAGCAGCTGGAAGAAATAAAAGAGACCACAAAGAGAGAAATTGAGAGCAGGAGGCAGTGTAAAGAAAAACAGTGACGGGGGTGGGGATGGCCAGAAAACAAACCAATGCAAGAGAGATGGGGGAAGGGAAGAAAGCCTCTAGGAGGAGCTGGGTCCCTGTAGGACCTTGCCCCCCACCATCCCCTTTGCCTCCCCATCCTTTTCTCCCACCCACATTGTCTACCAGGGATATGTTTGCAGCGGCCTCCAGGGTTCCTGGAGAAATCAGGAGGAAATCCCAGCCGTCAGCAGATGCTGGGCCCTGTTTGTTCTCCTTGAGTTCTGGAGGTGTACCGGAGGTGACGGCAGGATGAGAGCCTACGTGTCCCGGCTTGCAGGCCAGGCATGTCCCCTGCCCTGGGGACCACTGGAATGCAAAGCTTTCCTTCCTCCTCAAGTGCCAGGGTTGGGGTGGCACTTTTTGGAGAGGGCACACAGACACATCAGACACTGGGCGGTCATCACACCAGCCTGGGGGATGCATCACCACACAGAAGGGCAGCTGAACACAGAGGCAGAGACAATGTTACACACCAAGATACACAGTTCTCCACAGGCAGTTAGCGTTGCACAGACATCAAAGCAATGATGCTCCCAGAACATTCTCTGTCTCTGTCTCTTACACACACACACACACACACACACACACACACACACACACACACACACACACACCAGAAAAACATTCCATTTGTGACCTCGCCTTACATGACAGTCTATCACGTGGTAGAATTATCAACAAAACTTGTTTTTAATGATGGTGTTGACCTGAGGAATCTTCAGACAGAGGCTGGTGGCCTGAGGTGACCACCAGCAAAGAACTGGCCCAGGTCTTGGACTCAGAGTCTCCCAGAGAGAGCTGACCTCTAAGAGGGAAGGGAGGCCAAGCCCTCTAACTGCTTCGTGAAAGAAGACTAGAAATTTGCCTGGGGGAAAGAAACACGGTACAAAATACATTCAGAGCCCCCTGGCTGGGCCCCGGGGTGGCCCGAATCCTACAGATGAGGGGCTCAGGGAAGAGAACCACAGGTCCAACCCCCTGGCCCTTCTCTTTGCATGGCCACGTTCGAAGGGGTGGAATGTATTAGTCATATTCCTCTTAGAAAAATATATCTCTTTACACTCGCCTTCTCCACAGTCCCTTGGCTATCTGGGAATGAGCATTTATTTGCACCCCAAGGCTTCAGAGGTGGCTGCTTGGGGGGCTGCTCCAGACAGAATAGCAAAGAGCTGTGACCTATGGCTTTTGCACCTACATGGTGGGGGGATGGTGTAGGTGCACAAATGTGGGCTGGATGCGAAATCACTGGTACCCAAGGTGGTGGGGAGAGATGGGATCCTGGATCTCGATGCTTTCTGAGATAGATGATCAGTGATTCAGGTCCTCGGGAATCCTTTGGTTTGATGTCTCAGCATCAAAAGAGCAGTGTTTGTATGGACATGAGCAACCACCCCGTTCACCCCGTTCCTTAACCCCCTAAGAGAAGCTGACCTATGACCAAAGGGAGGTCTACGGTCTGGGAAGGTAGTGGGGGGTCCCTTTCGCTCAGGGTTCCACCTGATTTGGAGCACTCTTGTTCTCTCTCCTGGATAGCAAGGGACCTACTGGTAGGGGTCAGAAGGGCAGTGTCAGATCAACGTGTTGGAGCCCACGGTGGGGAGGGGTGTTACCAGAGCTCTCATTCTCGCTCAGATTCTGCATGTGGCTTGTGGCCGTCCTGGTGAGATAATGGTTGGTTCCTGAGGACCCTGGAAGTGGGTCACCACCTGGATACAGCTGGGGAAGAAAGGGGAGAATTCCAGCCCTCGAGGTGGACAGGAACCAGGTCATTTCTCAGGAGCACTGTGACCTGGTAAGGGGGTGGATTGGGATGTCAGTGACCCCACGCGGTGGCCCCAGTTAACCTGTTCTGAGCACCATTGCTTCCCTGACCCACCCAGAATGTCAGAAACCTAAGGCCGCAGAGAAACTTCCCAGCAATCTTTCTTCAAACAGAAGTGGCTGGGATAAACCCTGGCGTCAGTGCTTCCTGGGTGGGGCAGAGATGGGGAAGCTATGAGTGCTCAGCTCAGCACGGAGCAGAGTCTGGGCCACATTTTTCCACGTCATTCTCTTTAGCTCTTGCACCAGGGTCCTCAACACCTGCGGTGGGGCACCCTTGTCTCTGGGACACCCATGAGCCCTCCTTCCCACAAGTGGAGCCCAGAGTGGTGGGCACAGGGACATGGGAGACAGAGAAGGGTCCACGTGGCTAGAGCTCCCTAACCCAGTTGCCCCCTCCATCTCTGGGGGCGCGGTGTGAGTAGGCGGGGCGTGCCTGCACAGTCTCTTCGCCTGAGCCTCCTTCGTCATGCAGGGAACTCAGCGAAAGGCAACAGCAGCCATGGGGATTGTCCCCAAATCGAAGAGGGGACTGATGGGTGTGGGCCCCCAGGGGTCTGGGGTCCCCAGGGCCTGCTCGGTCTGGACTGCCAGCTCCCCGCCCCGCTCCGACCCGTCATCTGGGGTAGTAGTCGTCGGGAACGCCCGTGAGGTTCCTCCCTTTAAGGGCCGCATCCACCGTCTTGATGTAGGCAGAGATGGTCTTCTGCATGTCCGCCGTGTAGGGGTCGTACTCCAGCTTCCGGAGCCCCGAGCGCTTGAAGTTGCCGTCCTTCTGGCTCTCCACACACAGCAGTCGGTCCTCCCTGACAGCCACACCCAGCAGCCCGACCATCCGGCCCAGCTGGACGAAGAGGTCCTGCTTCAGATCCTCAAAGTGCACCACCAGCACCTTCTTGCCGAACTTGAGCCAGTCCAGTGTGTGCGTGGCCCACCACGGGGCGTAGTTCCTTACGAACTCTGGCCACTCTGTGGACAGAGCAAGGAGGCCCAGGTCAGCGGGAGGACACAGGTCAGATGGCGTTGGCTATTCACAGCAGCGCCACCACTGTTAACCCTCAGATCACCAAACTCGCCTCCCTCCTCCCACCTCGGGGCTGCTGCTTCTGCCTGGAATCATCTTAGCCCTTCCTTCTCTCTGGGGAGAATGACATCTGTCTGGTGCTTACTCCATGCCAGGCACAGACATATATAAATCCTTGTTACTCTATTTTTATATTTTAATATATATTGATCTTAATATAGAGTTTAATAAATATACTAATAGAGCTATCGATTCACTTATTCCTCACAAGAACACTGTGAGGCAGGCATCATCGTTTTCTTCATTTACAGAAGGGGGAACTCAGGCACAGAGAGGTTAAGTAACTTGCCCAAGGTCACGCAGCTAATAACTGGCAGAGCCAGGATTTGAAACCAAACAGTCTGGCATCAAAGTCTGGGCTTTTAACTACCAAGTTATCCTGTGTAGGAACAGTTATCCTGTGCAGTAACAGTATCTTCTCACAGGATAGTAATAGGGCCTTTGTACAGAGAAGTGGGAAAAGCATACAAAATTTTCAGCATGGTGCCCTGTACCCAGTAGGTGCTCAGTAAACGTTGGCTATTATTACTGTGATAATTCTGTTCTCAGGTGAGATGTCATCTTCCCTGACTCCCCAGGCTCAGGCAGGTACCTCCTCCGGGCTGAGGGCAGTTTAAATCAGATTATTTACATTGTCATTTTGACACCTTCCTATCCTATCTTTCTTTCTTTGCTTTCTATTGAAGTATCACACATTGTTTCTTTGTGCTGTTTGTTCCCTTGCCATGGTAAAAGGACAGGATGGATTTTCACCCAGATTGGGAGTGTGTGTTTGGGATCCCCTGACTCGAGAAAGAGACAGGCTACAACAGAATGTGGGAAATTCACCAGAGAGCCCTGGAGAGGACCTCAGAGAGACAGCCAGCCAGCCAGCCCCAGGAGCTGTTGAAACTCTGATAAAGGGGAACCCAGGAGGGGGGTCTTGGAGGATGTTGGGAACAGAGAGAGGGATTTGCAGCCTCAATTCTGAGCCCCAGCTGGAGAATCACGGGGCCTGTACTCCGGAACCCTGAAGCCATACCCCCTGCTTCTCACAGGGGCAGCACCACCCTGCACCCTCCAGACGGATATGTTTACTGAACGAGGCTCAGTGAGTCTCCCAAGCTGCGCTGGGGAGCCCAGCTGGTTCTTAATAACTAAATCCTCAACCTTTGCTGGATGATGGATACCCCTTATCTCATTTAATCATAGTAACTACCCTGAAAGGAAAAGACTACTGTTCATTTGTCACCAGTGAGGAAGCTGAGGCTCAGAGACGTGAAGTAATTTGCCCAAGGTCACACAGCCGGGAAGCATAATCCAGACCAGGCCTGCCTGATTCCAGGCCCCCATCTTTCCTAGGCACCAGCAGCCTCACCCCCACTCCCTCCCACTGCCTCACACCCAGCAGGGGCTTAATAAATGGTTGTTGAACTAAATTGAAATTCCCAGCCGCCAAGCTGTGATGTGATAAAGGGCTCCTCTTTCTTCGCAGAGCACATCAGAATCTGTGGTGAGGCTCCTGCTCCCCCAGTGACTCCCTGGAATACCACAGCCGCTTGGGAAATATTTATGCTGATGACAAAGATATATTTTCTTTTTGCGGTACGCCGGCCTCTCACTGTTGTGGCCTCTCCCGTTGTGGAGCACAGGCTCCGGACGCGCAGGCTCAGCGGCCATGGCTAATGGGCCCAGCCGCTCCACGGCATGTGGGATCTTCCCGGACCGGGGCACGAACCCACGTCCCCTGCATCGGCAGGCAGACTCTCAACCACTGCGCCACCAGGGAAGCCCCTGACAAAGATATTTTTTATCCTTCAAATAGATTATTTACAATGTATCTAGCTAACTGGGCCCGTACTGTTATAAGACCAGATGTGTCTGTGTGATTAGGAAAAAAATCTAGCATGTGTATACTCTGCTTTACTTTTTGAGAAAGAATGTCCCCATTCCTGAGTCATCTCACAGCATCCCTGGTGATTCAGGACAACTGCCGCTCCCATGGCAGAAACCCAGATGGATGCGGAAGGCACTCAGTTACTCAGTCCATCTGGATGGACTTCCAGGCTTAGCCACTTGTGACCATCTCAAGAGGTTCCTGGAGGGTGGTCCTCAAGAAAAAGGAAGGGCCTGTCTGCATGATGGCCTGGATCCCCCAGGTGGTGCCCCTGGCCTTGGACACAGGTGGGGGGGAGATGACATGGCATCCCTGTGACTGCAAACTTCCCTGGGGTGGGAATGTATGTTGCCTGAGCACCTACTGTGTGCCAGGACTGTGCTGGGCACTTTGCACGCACTACCTCCTGCAGTGCCCCTTACAAGAAGCCTGGAGAGTAGGAATTACTCTAGCTCCATCTTACACACGGGAATGAGCCTGGCTCCTGCCCTCCTGGCAAACCCTTTAAGAGCACCTGATCTGACCATCTCCAGCACTCTTCTCGCCCCAGATCCTAGTCTACATCCGCTTACCTCACCTTCAGGTGTCATCTAAGACACGGGTCTGTTCACTGAAGACTTTGGAGTCAGACTGCCAGGGTTCAAAACCCAGCTCCTCTCCATATTGGCTGTGTGAACTTGGGGACGTCAGGAGGTCTCCTTGAGCCTCAGTTTACCCATCTGCACACTGGCAACTGTGCTAAGAACTCCATCCTAGACATGCCATACAGATGGAATGGAATAAGATGTGCAGACCCTGGCACCAGGCCTGGGACGCAGGAGGCACTGGATAAATGTTGGCTACAACTGTTCTCGATGTTGGTCCCCAGCATCTCTGAGATGCCCCAAGTGGCCCATCATTTTGGGGCAGCAGATACTCGCCCCCTCCCCACCCCTTCCTAGAGCAAAGATCCCTCACTTGGAGCTCCTGAATGACTTCGCTGGAATGAAGAACAAAAATGAAAATGAAAAACAAAAGCCCTCATTTAGCTCAGGATTCCCGGTAACTGATGGCTGCCTTCAAATTGGGTAATACAGGCACACTGTGCCGTGGACCACTGGTGATGAGTGCTGGTTCTTCCAGAACCGTCCCCCACAAGGGCCCGGTGGGACACGCGCTGGCCACTCTCTGCTTCATCTTCTTGTCAAAGGGAGGAACCGGGGTCTGATTAATAGCTTAACTGTATTTAATTCTCCACGGAATCATTAAACACGGTCTCTGTTTCATTAAACAGATCCAGGACAATTCACCTTGTGTAATCGTATCACATAAAACTTTGCTTTGGGCCCCCTCCAGGGATATCATAAAATCAGTGTTATGGAAACAAAAGCCGGGGGGGGTGGGTGGTGGTGACACGAGCCTCGACCCAGCTATAACTGGGAGGGGGACACGGGTGAGCGACCTCTCAGCAGGTGAGTGACCTCTGCTCTTAGGTGGGAGTAACCCTCACATTCCCGGCCGAGGGTGTCCTAAAGCAGTGATTCTCAAATTTGAAAGCTCACAAGAAGCTTCTGGAAGGAATCTTGTTAAAATGAGAATTCTGATCCAGTAAGCGTGAGGTGGGACCTGAGAATCTGCATTTCAAACTAATTCCCAAGTGATACTGACGCTGCTGGAGCAGGCAAGGGTCTCAAACTCAAGTGCCTACAGGGTCAGATGTTAATGCAAATGAGAGGAATGAGTGGGTGGGGTCCGTGGGGGTGGGGTTCTTTGGGGAAGGCTCTCAGGCAGAGCACTTGAAGACCTGGGTCAGGCCTGGGAGGAAGCACTGGGAGAAGGTCCGTCCCAACCCAGACTAATGAGGGGGCCCCAGGCCCCCCATAGGAGGTGTGTGTCCTGAAATCTCCTCTTGCCCATCCCCTGCAGCCTCTGGGCTCAGCCTGTCCTGACACCTCCCTTATCTTTGGTTTTAAAGCTGTCTTGAATAAGGAAGAGGCAAGGTGGCTCCTGGGAATTAGGAAATTGCCTAAACCTGAGAGGAGGGGTTATGCCAGGAGGGGGGAGCCTCTGAATGTACCAGAATGTCAGCAACACCCCGAGGTGAGAGACAGCCTGGTAGCTAATGCCTGGGTTTGGATCTCAGCTCGCTCAACTCCTGGGGCCTCCGCCACATGACTCGCTCCCTTCCTGGGATGGTGACTGTGGCAGCCCTTCTTACCTCCTCGGGTAATTAGAAGATGTAAATGAGATAATTATTGCTAAGTGCCTGGTCCCATATGAGCTTCCCAAGTGAACTCCCTCCCTTTTTACTTGGGGCAGTAGGATGCCTGGGAGGTGGAGAGCTGGACTCTAGTCCTGTCATTATGTGCCCGAGTGACTCTGGCAGGCCCTGCCTCTCTTGGGCCTCATTTTCCCCATTAATAGAGAATGAATCCGTGGTTCTCAGGCCTGCCTGCACACTGCTTTAAAAAATACCAGTGCCCAGGCTCCACTCCAGTGATCGTCTGGGGTGCAGCCTTGGAACTGGGACTTTCCCACATCCTGGGATTCTGATGTGCTGCTGGGGCTGAGGACGCCTGGGTTCAGCGATCTCCCAGGTCCTTTCCAGCTTGACAAGCAGAACATCTGCTCCTGGGACAGGATCCTGCCATTGGCACCTGCAGACTTCTCAGCCTGGCCCCAAACAGTGGTCATTTTTGATTGTTCTACAAATAAATAATTCAGAGGTCTCTTTACCCCTGGGAACAAATGTCATCCCCTGTCCCAGCTTCCACCCCCTCACTGAGAGAGGAGGTGAAGTAGGGGAAGGGACAGACAGGCCCCTTGAGCAAACTGGGAACCCAGGGCACAGTTGGTCAGGCAGGCCCAAGAGTTTTCATCAATGACATCAGTGCTGAGAATGTGATTGGCTGAGTTAATGTTGTCCTGCCTGCTCCGGTTCTCTCTGGGGAGGGGCTGGAGCGTGGAGCAGCTGGGGGCCAGGGGGAGGGTTTGGAGGAGTGGGAAGCACCCCTGGGCCTAGAGGCTGCAGCAGCCTGGTTCCTTGAAGCTGGATGAGGTCGGCTGGGCTCACGTTCACAGAGTACTTACTTGGCATCAGGAGCTCTGAGCGGGGGGATCCGTAGCCACTGACGTTCAGTCTAACTCATTATCATAGCTCAGTGGTTAAGGGTGTGGGCTCAGGAGCAAGACTCCCTGGGTTCAAACCCCTGCCCCACCACTTCCTGGAAAAGTGCCTTCACCTCCCTAAAACTAGCTTGCACCATCCATGACACAGGGTGAACTCTGTGAACCTAACCCAGGCATTAGCTACCAGGCTGTCTCTCACCTTGGGGTGTTGCTGACATTCTGGTCACGCATGGAGGTGACTTTCATTATGGTAATGGAGATATGGGTGATAACTGATATGGGATTTTGAGGAGGCTGGGTCTGACTTCGGAGCTCTCCCCACTACTGTGGGCTGCTGCTCTGTACTGAGACGTTCTTCCATTCTGGAATCTACTAAGCACCAGAGGTGAACATCAAATTCAGATCATCTTAATGAACTTTAGTGCTCGGAGACTGACACTGTCACTTCCCAGCTATACCTGGGGCAAGTCACTTAACCTCTCTGAGTTTTCCAATCCAGAGTAGCGGAGGGGGTTCATAGAACGATGATCTTAGGAGCTCATAGGTGACCTCATGGCCACTCAGCCACTGACCTTGGGCTGGATTCAGATCCCAGGAAAGGGCTCTTGAATACGAGGGTCCACTGAGTGTTTTTAAAGGGTGAAATTCTTGGATTTTACTACCTCCACTTTATAAACAGGACAATCTAAGTTCATGGAGGTGAAGGCGCTTTTCTAGGAAGTGGTGGAGTTGGGATCTGAACTCAGGGAGTCTTGGTCCAGAGCCCGTGCCCTTAACCACTGTGCCACGGTAACAACCTGGCTCACAGAGGGTGATGCTGGTGGGTATGGTGGGATGTGCAAAGCATACCTCCTCATCTGTAAGAAGGACCTGGACACTTACACACATGCCTTCAAGGATGCCCTCCTGGATTCCTGGCAGGAGACAGCACTAGCCCCTCGCACTGCCCTCTACACCCTAGGGCTCCACCCCCCCACTCCAAACAGTACCTTTGCCCTTCCAATGGGCATGGGCAGCGAAGCCGATGTGTCCGCCGTACTTGCGGTTGAACTCCGCCATGAGGGCCTTGTAGGGGTTGCGGATGAGCAGGATGGCCGCGTCGAAGGCCTCGATCTCCTTCTGGCCGCTCTCGTGCGTCTTGATGCAGATGGTCCTCCCGCTGCGCCAGTGGTCCCGCTCACCTTTAAACCCTTCCCACAACCAGGGGGTTAGGGAACGTGGCACTGAGCTGAGGGAGACAAGAGGTCCACCCCACCCCCTCCTGGACCCCTTCAGGAATCCTCAGACGTTCATTTGTCTACTCATTCATTTACTCACGTGCTTACAGAGCACCTACTACATGCCAGGCACTGTGCAGGGAGAAAATGATTTACAGAAACATCCATGGGTCTTAGTTTTTGAGAGCCAGATAATCTGAGTAGTGACATAAATGAATGTAAAGTCACTGCCGTGGTTAGAGCTACAGAAGAGGAGTAACCATGCCTACGTGCCACAGGAGGGGCCTGACAGTGATGTGCTGGAGGATTCCTCTTTGGGTGGAGCCTACACCTCTACCCCACTGATGCTGGGCACGCCGTATGACTTGCTTTGGCCAGCGGATTGAGGGCGGAAATGGGTCTCTGCCAAAGTCTTAGGATGCATCACATTTCTGTTCACTCTGTGTGTTTCTGCTGTCACTGTGAGAAGGACATGCCCTGGAAGCCTGTTGGCCCCAGATGGTGAGAGACCCATGGAACAGACACGGGTCCAACCTGCAGTCTGCAGCTGAGCAGCCCAGCCAGCCTGGCCAAGATCACTGACCTAGTCAGGCAGCATCCAGAAAGACTTCCTGGGAGAAGAGGTGCTTAGGCTGAGAACTGAAGGACGAGGAAGAATTTACCAATCCAAGTGAGGAGGGAAAGGTGGTGGGAACAGCAGGTGCAAAGGTCCTGTGGTGGGTGGGAAGAAATGTGTCGCACATGAGCGACTGGTACAGGAGAGCAGAGGGCAAGAGGGGGTTGTGATGAAGAGTTTTAGTACTGGACCAGAAAGACTACACAGCCCTTAAAAGGAATTCAGCAAAAGGAAGGAGGGACCGGATCAGGTTCTCATTTCAAAAGCTGAGGAACTGAAAGACGTTCTGGGTAGCTGGAGGATGCTTCTATAGCACCGACTCCATGCTGAACACTGCTCTGAGCCCTTTTCATGTAGTAGACAACTGATCCTTTCAATAATCCTTTGTGGGTTTTATCTGATAGATGACGAAACTGAGTCCCAGGGAGAGCAAATAACTTGCCCAAGTTACAGAGCTAGCGAGAGGCCCTTCCAATGGGCATGGGCAGCAAAGCCGATGTGTCCGCCATACTTGCGGTTGAACTCTGCCATGAGGGCCTTGTAGGGGTTGCGAATAAGGTTCAAAGCTAAGCCATCCTGCTGCCCAAGACTGTGCTCTTCTCCATCTTGGCCTCCCATGCCCATGAGAGTTAAGGCATTTGGATGGGCTCTTCGAAGCCAGTTAGAATGCTAATGTATCAATACTAGACCTTCAAGACACTGGCTGTGTGTCCAACTCAAATGAGTGATCTGGGACATCGTGTCACGTCTTTGGGCTTCAGTTTCCTGTATGAGGTGCCCAGCATACAGTAAGTGCTGAAGGAATGACTTAAATGGAGGGAAGGTCCCAGGCACATAGTAGGTGCTTAATAAGTGTCTAATGTTGACGGAAGCAGGTGAGGTACCCAGGACATGATACTCAGGAAATGTTTGTGGGATGTAAGTGAAGGGAAGGTACCAAGCATATAGTAGGTCTCGATAAACATGCCTAGGTGAGCTGAGCAGCACACAGTAGGTGCTCAGGAAGGGGTATTCCCATGCCCTCCCAGGGGGTCCTTCCCGAGCTCCTGCCCCCGTTCCCTGTTCCCCTCCGCCTCCTCACCTTTGTTGTAGAGAGAACCGTCGAAGTAGTAGCTGCCGGTGTAGAAGCCGGTGGCCAGCTCGATGAGGTGGCGAGCCCACGTGTTGCCGGCACCTGGGAAGCTGGCCAGAGCGATGAGCTGCTTGGACTTGGCTGGAAGGAACCTTCTGTCCATGCAGCGGTTGTCTGCAAAGGGCAGGGCACAGACAGGGGTCAGTGGCAGGGGCACAGCAGAAGGAGCCTGTTTAGAAGGGACCAGGGTGTGAGTCCCATCCCTGCCACCTCCCAGCTGTGCGACCCGGTGCTTTCTGGGCCTGTCTCCTCATTTGGAAATGGGAAAATGGTTATATGAGATAATATATGAAAAAGGATAAGCACATGGTAGGGATTCAATAAAAGTCAGCCAGGAGGATGAGCCTTCTCTCCAGCCTCAGTTTCTCCCCTGTCCCACTGAGTCTCTTATCACCCCCACACCTGCCTCCAGATTAAAACTCACAAATGCCGTCCATCTGCATGGGACTGAGTCCAAGGTTTTTATCTTGACCTTCAAGCCCCGTGTGGCCTGGCCCTTGCATCCTCCCGGGCTCACGCCACCCACATGCTCTCCCCTCAAACTCCCCCACCTGCCAGCCACTTGGTTCACTGTCTCATCCGTGCTCTGCTCCTTCCTGACTTGGCAGCTTCAGGTGCACTGGTCCCTCCGCCTTCACTGCCTCCTACCTGTCTTTGACTGCTTATTATCCTGCTCTCTGCTGAACTGGACCCTTCCTTCCTCCCTTCCTTCCTTCTTTCCTCCCTCCCTCCCTTCCTTCTTTCCTTCCTTCCCTCCATCCCTCCCTTCCTTCTCTGACTCCCTGGGCTATCATTAGTGTACTATGTCCATCTCTCTTGTATTACTTTCTGCTACTGTAATTCAAATCATTATTTGTTTAGTCAGAAACCCTGCCCATATTGTCCTTTGCTGATTTCCTGGCACTTTCCATACTATCTGGCATCCACCTAACCATCCATCTACCCATCCATCCAAGAAACATTTATTATCCTTACTTGCTTTCTCACAATAGCGCTTCAAGGGAAAAGTCTGAAGTCCTAAATTTAAATTCCAATTCTGCCATCTCCTTGCTGGGTAACCTTGGAAAAATGATGGATCTGAATAAACCTCAGTTTCCTCACCTGTAAAATGGGAATGCTGATAATGATGACATCCTGGGGGTTGGTTAGGAGGGTTAGAAGAGAGAATGGGTGTCGAGTGTTAACACAGGGCTCACATGCTGTGAGCTCTTAGTATTGGTGCTGCTAGCCAGAGACCAGGTCTCTTCCCCGTCATGCAGGTTTAATCTGTTTGTTCAGAGGAGAGCAGATTTTGGAAAAAAACAAACCAAAAAGCATCTTTATCAAGCCAGGTAGGTGTCTGGGAATGGTCTTCACGGGAACACATTGCAAAAAGGAGCCTAGATGCAAAACTTTCTGGAGAGTGGTTATGTTTTATATTTTGACAGGGGTGTGGATTTCATAGGACCCAGTTGGCATCAAATAGTGCACTTAAAATTTGTGCATTTCACTCTATGTAAATGCTACTTCAAAAAATCATAAGTGGGGCTTCCCTGGTGGCGCAGTGGTTGAGAGTCCGCCTGCCGAGGCAGGGGACGCGGGTTCGTGCCCCGGTCCGGGAAGATCCCACATGCCGCGGAGCGGCTGGGCGCGTGAGCCATGGCCGCGGAGCCTGCGCGTCCGGAGCCTGTGCTCCGCAACGGGAGAGGCCACAGCAGTGAGAGGCCCGCGTACCGCAAAAAAAAAAAAAAAAAAAAAAAAAAAAATCATAAGTAAATATTGAATTATAATTAGTGATATGCAGACTGAAGTGTAATGATGTTTGCAACTTACTCCGAAATGCATCCAAAAATAAAAATTGAGGGATGGAGAAATGGAGAGATGTATGATAAAGTAAACAGAACAAAATGTCGACAGATGTAAAATCTGTAGGGTAAGTCTAGCAGGTTCACTGTGTAATTCTTTCCATTTTTTTCTGGAGGTTTGACATTTTTTCATAATAAAATGCTGGGAGAGAGAAAGAACCTGGCCCCTCAATTTCCCCTGAAAACAGAATTCTCCATTCAAATACTGCCTGGGCGGCGAGGGTAAAGCTGGTTATTTTCAGCACTAAAAAGGAAGTTGATTTGGTTCTTAAGCTCCACAAATCAAAACAGATGCTGGAGGCAGTGTTGTATATAGTTTTGGAATCAGACAGACCTGTGTTTCGATCTATGATGATCATGGCCTAGTTGTGTGACACTGAACAAGGCTCTTCACCTCTCTGAGCCCCAGTTTCCTCACCTGTAAAGTGGGGCTAATAAACCTTACAGGATTAGATGGATAATGCATGTGAAGTATTTGCAGTATATGTTGAGAAGCTGAGATTAAGAGTGCAGGCTCAGGACCCAGATTGCCTTGGTCTGAATCCCAACTCTGTTCTGTCCCAGCTGTGTGACTCTGGCCAAGCTCCTCAACCTCTCTGTGCCGAGTTGCCATATTTGTAAAACGGTAATAATAACAGCACCTATGTCATTGGACTGTTATGAGGATTAGATGAGTTAATTCAGTCTAAAGAGCTTAGACAGTACCCGGCACACAGTAGGTACTCAATAAATGGCTGCCATCGTGGACCAGACTCTTGGCGGCCTCATGAACCACATGACTCTCAAGCCACCCCAGTGTGTAGGGCCTGCAAGTGTGACATGGGAAATTGAACACCAGTAATGGCCTGGGGCCAGGCACTGGGAATGAGCAAACCCATCAATCAGGGGCTATTGAAAAGGCTCCAGTGTCGGTTCTGTCCACATCAAAGCTGTTCATGGTCACGGGATAATTAAGCTGTGTATGACCCTTCCCCCAAGCTGGGGTAACACAGTTCTGCACAGAGTAACCAACAGTTCCTGGAAACTAACAAACACTCATCCTTCCTCACCAGAGTGTAAATAAAGCCAAGGGCCACACTGGCTAAAGACATTTCTGCTCACTGGGCTCTGAGCAATATTCAGCTGCCATGGAAGCAGCCGCAGTTGGCCACCACCGGTACCCCCATCAGGCCAAACAGGGGACAGGCTGTTGGTGAAGCTGCCACTAGCTCTTACAGCACCTTTGTAAAAATCAGGTAAAGGTTCCCTCCCCTTCCTCTGGGCAGATGTGCTGCCATCCAGAGTGCACGGCATGACAGGCAGAGCACAGGCTGGCTTTCAGGCATTACTTTTCTTCTAGGTTATGCCTGTGCAGTGCTCAACCTGCCCGACCATATATGGCAGTCTAGTTCCTGGGAGATGAAGAGGAGGTCTAGCCCAGTGGTGTTTTGTTAGCTCTCCAGGCTTCAGAGGGTGCGGGGAGTGTCCTTGGCACTGTGGGTAGAGGTTTCTAGCAGGGACTTTGGAGTCAGAGACCTGAAAGCAAATCACTCTTGTAGATGTGTGATTATGGCCAGTTCTCAATCTCTCTGAGTCTTGGTTCTCCCATCTGTAAAATGGGGATGGTATCATCCTGATCATAGGCTTACTGTGGGCTTCCCATCATCAAATGAGATGAAGCTTGGCATAGGACTGCACGTCGCAGGTGGACAGTTTTTTCAGATATTGGGGTAATCCTTCACGGGCTTCCTTTGGGCTGAGCATCCCAGCAAGGCACCTTTCCAAGTGCCACCACCTTTCATGATGCCTCCAGCAGGAGAAAAGATTTTCATCTAGAAATATTATAAACACCATGACCTCAGGCAAGTCCTTTACCTGTGCTGAGTCTCAGTTTCCCTACCTGTAAAGAAGGCATAATGACTGTTCCTGCCTCACAGGAAAGCTGAGGGGAATCAGTGAGAAAATGCATACGAAGGACTCAACACTGAGTCTGGCACAACGAAAGTCCCTAAGTGCCACCGTCACCACCACCACCACCATTGTCATCACAGTCCGGTACCCCAACAGATGGAAGAGGAGATAAACATTGAGTGCGGGTTCCACTAGCAGAGGAAGAAGGATAAAAGCGGAAAGGATGAGTGAGACAGAGAAAGAGAAGAAAAAGTTACAGGTAAATTTGCAGAATCCTAGAATTGGCAGGCTAACCATCTACAGCTTCATTTTACAGATGGAGAAACTGAGGCCCAGAAAGGGGACATGACTCGCCCAGGATCATGCAGTGGGTCTGTGTTGAAGACCCAAGTCTCCTACTCCCAGATCAGATGTTTTCCCATTCCATCTCACAGCCCCCATTACAGGAAGAGCCACCAAGGGGGTCTTCAGTATAAGGGATAGAGATGAAGGTTTTCAGAACCATCCCCCCCCGGGGGCCCTCCCTCCATTGCCCATGCAGGATCTCTAAGCCTGGCTATGCTCACCAGCCCTGCCTCTGCCCTCTGCCCTCTGCTCTCTGGCCTGCACAGTCCTCTTGCTGACAGGCTGGCTGGAATGGACTGGCTGGAGCATCTCTGGGAGGGAGGCCGCTGGGAGAGCTTCTGGGGGTCTGCTGGGTCGGGGCGGACCTGGCTTACCTTGGACCTGCGTCTGATACACAATGAAGTAACTGGGTGTCCCGCAGCTCTCAAACTCCTCCGCGCTGCACTTCTGGGCACAGAGCTGTTCGTCCTCTCTCTCGTGGAGGGGAAATCGCGTAGTGGGGAAGCCACAGTGGCAGGCGGTGCCCGCAAGGGCTGCCAGTGGGTACTCCTGGGGATGAAGCAGGAGAGGAAAGGGAAGAAAGTCACCAAATCCCTGGACAGCCCAGACTCTGGGTGCAGAACAGGATTTGTGTTCCAATCGTCCCCTCCTCCATCACTCTCCCCAGCTCAAGGGTCCCCAAGCTTCAGCAGCAAGATTTTGCCCTACCTGCGTACCTCCTGTACTATTATATTTTCCAGCTTTTTTGAGGTATAATTAAGTAAAAAATTGCATCTATTTAAGATGTGCAACTTGACGTTTCAATGTATGTATACATTGTGAAATAATCATCACAATCAAGCTAGTCAACACACCCATCACCTCACATAGTTACCATTTTCTTTTTTGCTTTCCTGTACTATTATTCATTTATTTGTTTCCTTTATGTGTCAAGTCACTTTTTAAAATTAATTTTTATATATATATATATATATATATATATATATATATATATATATATAAAATTTTTGGCTGTGTTGGGTCTTCGTTGCTGCGCACGGGCTTTCTCTATTCAAAGGAACTATTTATTACTCCTGAAAGTAGCACTGGTTGAGAAGTATCATTTCCATACATTTCCATACTGTAAACCCCAATACTGCAGAAAGAAAACCACATGATTAAATTCTAACTAGGCACTCTGCCTGCCAAGAACTTGAGCCTGGGGTCGACTCTGTTTTTCCTGCAAAAGGGAGATTAGTTGAGGGGAGAGAGGTGTTAAAGATACTTTAGCACTGAAAAGCAGCTTTCTCCTGGAGGTCTTGAAAGAAAACTGAAAAAGAAAAGTTTTTCTTATGGCCATGCATTACGCCAGAGTAAATCCTCTGTGTCTGACAGTGATATGAAGCCCATGCTTTGGGAAAAGCTGTCTGAATCCTTCCTTTTAAGCCAAAGAGGATGTTGATACCTACCCGTAGCCGCAGTCTTTGCTGGGAGAGCTGCTCCTAATTGTTTTATTTGTTCTATGAAAGAGCTAAGTGGGAGCAGGCTGGGCCTGAGATCTGGAGGGCAATGGACCGTCCTTGGTCCAACTTGCTTCTGCTCAGACGCATGAAGCTGAATTCTCCCTGGCAGCTGGTCCAGGAATAATGTGGTAACAAACCAAGGTCATACCGCCGTGGCTGGTTCCGGTGAGCTTTGCCATGGTAGGTAGGTTTGGTTTATTTCTCACAGGTGTTAAATATGAGCTACAGCACGTAGCCAAAGATCAGAGAGATGCTGATACAGGTGGGTGGACCTGGGCTGGGACTGATGGTATTTTCTAGCCGGTGACCCATGTTGAAGCCTCCTCTGACACCCTAAGTCTTTCAGACCCTCCACCACTTGACACAAGCAGCTCTGGACCCCTGTCCACTTAATCCCCTCAATTTTCCTCCTGTGGTGCCCTAAGGAGATTAGAAGAAACTAGAAGAGGGAGGTTTGCAGCGGGGTCTTCCTGTCGCCCCCCACCCCGCCCACGCAACCTGCCCACACCTTTGCTTCCCTCCAGTCCTATGTGCAGCTGGACCCTCTTCCATCCTGGTTTGCCCTGTGACCTCACTGTCTTGTGTTTGTCCTCCACCTCTGGCTGATCTGTAGGTTCCTCCAGAGCCCTCAGGACAGAGGAATGTCCACCTGGAGGGGATGCCATGGGAGGGGGATTCCTGCCCAAGAGAGAAAGCTGGACAAAAAGATGGTCAAACCTCCTTCATTCTTATGAACATCGCCCCTGACCTTCCAGGATGCCTCTTGGGAGCAGAGCAAGCACTCAGGAAATGCTTGGTGACCTGAAGTGGCCTGGCTGCCCTTGAATGGTTCCTGGAAGCCTCTCTGTGGGGTCTCTAGGGTAGCTCAGAAGTCAAGAGAGTAGATTTGGTGTCAGTCCCAGTTCTGCCACTTGCTTGCGCTGTGAGCTTGGGCAAGTGACTTCATCTGTCTGAGCCTTGTTTTTGTCATCTGTGAAATGGGGATGAAAATTCCCAACACCTAGCTTTGTTGTGAGAGGTAAACTGTGTGACCCGTGGGGCAGAGGGCTGCATGGAGGAGGTGCTCGGTAAGTGGCAGTTTCTATGATGATCCTTTCAGTCTTCCTGAGACGTGCGTTGTGAATTAGGAGCCTTGATGAAAGAAAAGCCGAGCAGGATGAGTCAGAGCAGGTGGGGGCAGGTGGGGGCATTCAGCAGTTGGGGCGCACGCTGAGCACCCAGGAAGAGCCACAAAGTTGGCCCCCAGCAAATGTCAGCATCATGGAGGATAAAGACCATATCTTGTTGACTTTGCACCCCCAGCACTGAGCACAGGGGCCTGGCACAAAGCAGGTTCTCATCAAATATTAGCTGAGTGAATGAATGAAATGGGCAACCACCTTCTTGTGGTTGGGGAGGGCTGGTTCTCCTTTGGACCCTCGTGTAATTAGCTCACCTTGAGTGAAGGAGGGAGCTCCTCAGACATCACTGAATGCCAGCGATGAGCCTAGCTCTGTGCTGGGTATTGGGAGTGGTCACAAAATGTTTTGGGCCACAGTCTCTGCTCTTGTGGTGTTCCCTGTCTGGCTTGGGAGGAAGGATAAACAGTCACCCATCAAGGATCTCAGGCTGAGAAAGGATCAGCCAGTTGGATCATCCAGTCCAACTGATATCCAGTGTCCAAAGTTCCGTATGCCACAGCTGCTCTGCCTCTGCTTGCATACCTCCAGTGACGGGGAACTCACACTGTCACAAGGTGGGATTGTCCTTGCCTTTACCTGGCAATCTTCTACACACGCTTCTCGGCCCAGTTCACATGTGGCCCTCATTCCTGAGCAGTCCTCACTATTAGAACAAACACACTTCTTTGGAGGGAAAGAAATGGGCCCCATGTAACTCCTACCCTCCGGATCCACATGAAACAGTCACATTCCCCCCATGTCACAGATCACAGATCACAGTAATGACCTCTCTCATCCCAGCTGGGCTGCTGCTCCTCCAGCCAAGCACCCCGTTCCTCCAGCTGCTCCACACCACCCTCCCCAGAGCTCCGTGCACAGAACCAGGCTCACCTTCTCTGTGCAAAGGTCCACACACTTGTCCACAGACATGTTGGGCATGGCAGCCGTCACGGGCAAGGCCAGGGAGAGGTTGTCGGGCCTGCGGAAGCAGCCTCGGAAGACTGCACTTCCATCTGGAGAGACAGAGGGAAAAGAACTAGTCAGATGTAGGCTGGGAGAGCCACCTTCTAGGCAAGAGTCTCGCCCAAGGTCACGCAGTGAGCCACAGTGGAGACTCATGAGCTAGAAAATTCAAAGAATGTCCTCAACCCTGGCATCTCTGTCAACAACACAGGTCACTGAGATGTTCTTGCTGGGCCATATAATCCCCTTTTCTTTGTCACCACTCCTATGTCTCGCTTTCCCATTCTTGGTGGTGGCAACTTTTCATTTAGGGAAATGACAGATGCCATGGAGGATTTTCGTGATCTCATCAGGAGAGGGTTGGGACGGAGGGAAGCAAAGGGTCCAGAGCTCTCCTGCCCCTCCTTCCAGCACTGGGGTGCCCCCTCTCCCTCCCATTGTCCTGGGCTTTAGGGGAAAAACCAGGGCCTCGGGAGCCTCTGCCCCATCAGTGCTCTAAGGGACTGATTTGTTGGAGAGATTCCCCTTCAGATAACCTAATCTGGAAACATCCCAGCTACGCAACAGAAAATTCAGAAGATGTTGCTATCTCTTTAATAGAAGTCATCCTCAAAACAATACTCAGAGATGTTGTCTTCAGCTGGGTTTACTTGAAGCTGAACCTGAGACAATGTTTTATGGCTTTTCAGGAGAAGCAGGACAGGGCAGAGGAGGAGCTAAGTAAGCATGTGATCTTGGCTGGGTCCCACCTCCAGCCCGGAGGGTAAACTGTACCACAGAGTTGGTCCCACTTTAAGGAAAGGGGCCGACCTTGGCCCTATGTGCCCCCCTCCCCAACGTCTGTCATTTGGAAGGCTGCTGGGGCAAGGGGGCAGGTGTGAGCCATTGGTGGTAAAGAGGATTTGGGTGGGTACCCTTTGCATCCATTACAGGTGTACACAAAGACACCAATAAGGATGCTCACTGCAGCATTTATTTAAATTAACAGGTGAAAGACTGGAAGCAACCTTGCTGTCCAACAATGAAGTACTGGACAAATAAAGTAGGGAATGACAACACAATGGGATTCTATGCCCCACCAAAAATAATGATGTTAAAGGTTACTTTAAAGAGATGAAGATGTGTTCAAGATAGAATGTTAAATAAAAACTGAGACCATGAAACTCCACATATTATAAAATATCAATTGTGTCCACAAATTCTCTCTCAGTGTAAATCTCTGGAGGGACATAGACTAATACGTTAACAACCATGGTTATCTCTTAATAGCAGACGTGATGGTTAAGTTTTGTGTCAACCTGGTGAGGCTATGGTGCCCAGTTGTTTGGTCAGACGTTGGTCTAGGTGTTGCTGTGAAGGTTTTTTGAAGATAGGATTAATATCTACAGTTCATTGACTTTAAGGAGACTTAACAGAGATTTCCCTCTAAAACGTCGGTGGGCCACATCCAATCAGTTGAAGGGATGAGGGGAAAAAACGAGGTTTCCCAGAGAAGAAGGAATTCAGCGTCTGGATGTCAGGCTGGCCAGCCTCTGCAGCTGCACGAGCCAATTCCTTAAATCAATCTCTTGATTTTTATATTTGCATATATCTTACTGGTTCTGTTTCTCTGGGGAACTCTGATAGGATATAGGCAATTTTTATTTCCACCTTTTTGTAAAACGCTTTTCTAACTTCTTCGACAGTGCATAGTTATTTTTTAATGTAATAATGACAAATTTTAAAAATTATAAGTGGCCCCTGTCAAATTTATCTAAAGACTCGTGGTGCCCATTTTCAATTGGGTTCCACTGTTCCCAAATCTGAGCTGTATACACTTTTCTAGAAGCACAGCTTTCACATGAAATAAAGGACACTGTTGATGCAGTGAATCAAAATCAGGAGCACAAAAGTAGGTGCCATTTACTGAGCACCTACCACGTGTGATCCACTCTTCTGAGAACTTTGCGAATGCCGTCTCATTTTACCTTCCTGGGAACTCTGCAGGGTCCATAGTAAACTCTCATTTTACGGATGAGAGACGCAGGGCTTAGAGAGGGGAGGTTATGTGACAATACTAGGGACCCACTGTTAGCGAAAACGTGCTAAGGATTATCTCAGAAAGACAATGCTAATCCTTGGGGAAAAGTGAAGCAAGCTACAAAAATCAACAACTCTGATACAACTCTGTCTTCCCCTGCACAGTCCTGGGCTGGGGAGGGTCTCAGATCCCCCAGGAAGGAGTCCTCTTTTTTTAGCATATACGTATATATCTATATTTAAGTGCAGAGAAAAGGATATGAAATTACTCCCCGGGCAGAAGGATGGTGGAGGAGCGGGGAGGGAGTCTAGGAATGAAAATTTTAAATCTCAGCTGTCAAAGGCACCCTAGTGATTACCTCTACCACCTGGCACCCTGTAGCCTGAAATTGCTCATCGTGGAGGCAAATCTAGCAAGCTGAGAAGACATCTGGAATTGGGTTAAATGACTGATTTCCAGAGCATGCTGCAGGCTCCCGCCACCCAGCACCATCTCCTCCACTCCCCACCTCTCACTCCAGGCTGCTGCGAGAGGCTGGTGAGAAGTGACGGTGGTGGACGCTGTGGTCCAGGCCTCAGTTTCCCCACATGTAAATGATAGGGAGGGGGTTAGACTATGCAGTCTCTTCTGTGCAGGACAGCCCTCCATCCCCCAAATGAGGAACTGCCAGACCCCAAATGGCACTAGTGTCCCGTGGGGGAACACGGGACAGTCTCCCATCCCGTGGCCCAGGATGCACCGAGGGACGCGCCATTTCATCGGTCACCCTGAGGAAGAGTTAACGATGCTCAGAGAACGTGCCGTACGAGGTGAGGATGCGGAGGGGAGTCAGGCGTCTAAGCTAAAGATTTACAGCAATGAGATGAGAAGCCGGAAGCAGTGTGGACGAAACCTCACGTAACCAGAAAACTTAGTTAGCTGGACGCCAATCAGGTCCCAGGGCAGAGACGCTGGACTTACTCTCAGAAGTAAGGGGACTCGCCTTTCCTCTTTAGACTCCACCAGTGTTTACTGAGCCCGCACGGATGCCAGGCTCCAAGCTGGGCGCTCTGGCTCCACTGAATCTTCGCAGCAGCCACGAGCAGTAGCTGCCACGGCTGGCTCAAGGAGGCGCTCTGGCTTCCAGGGCCACAAAGCTGTCTAAGGACAGAGTGAGATCAAAGCCAAGTTGCTCTGTCTCCCAAGTCTACGCTTCTTCCAATAATAATAATGCTACTATGATGATTAGATGCTTATAGTCATATCACAGTATGATTGTTATCATCACAGCCACCATATATGGGTCACGTGCTATCAGCCAGGAACTAGGTTAAACTGTTCACACATGTGGCCCTGTTGAACCCTTGCATCATTCTGGTGGTATAAGGATCCCCATTTTTACAGATGGAGAAACTCAAGCCTCAGAGGGCTGAAACCGCTTGACACAAGTCACCCAGCTTATAAGAGGCAGAGCTGAGACTGGAATCTAAGTCTGAGATGCTTCCATTCTTGACGATCTTATCGAATGCTCTCGCCATACCAGGCACTGTGTAAGCACTTGATATACTTTATCCTCCTAATTCCTATAAAGAAAGTCTCACTCTCCCCATTATACAGAAGGGGAAACAGAGGTTCAGAGGGGTAAGTGCCTTGCCTAAGGTCACACAGCTGACAACTAGCAGCATCTGGATTCTAACCTGGGAACGTCTGAGCTCAGAGTCCTCACACTCTGGGCTGTCCCTCTTTAAGGAACCACCCCCAGGCCCTGTTTGAGCATTTTCAAAACACTGTGACATATATTCACTCCCCTTTGACCACTAATCATTCACAAAGGCTGTCACTCTGGGGTCTCTCAACTCTGGAGTTGGTTTCTCTTTAAGCACCTAAAAATGCCTAGAACTTGACACTGAGTCTCTAGAACCATATTCAAGTTGTTAACCTGCCCCTTCCCCACCAGGACCCTATTCGACGGACCACCTTATAATCCTCCTGGGCCCCAGCTGGGGCAATGGTTTTGGGGTTGAGGCCAAGGGAGGCCCCTTCAGGACTGGTGTGGTCCTGGGTACACTGTAGGGATGCAAAGCCCACCACCTTTTATCCTATAGGGTGGATCCTTCCTGGAGCCCTCTTCCACCACCCTGGGGGGTCTGAGACCCTCCCCAACCCAGGACTGTGCAGGGGAAGACAGAGTTGTATCAGAAGGCATTGGGGGTTTGGGGGTATGTGTGGGTGTGAGGGAACCAATGGGGCAGGAGATGCAGACCATGAGGGTAGCTTGGGCCTGGTTGTAGTGAGGGTGTGTCTGGGAGGTGGGACACTTGTGCACAGTGTGTGTGACAGGGAGGCAGTGTGTGCATCTTGTGTGTGTGTGCACGCGCGTGTGTGTGTGACTGGGTTTGTGATGGTGTGAGTAGAGATCTACCTATTTGGGTGCGTGGATACTGAGCTCTGAGACCACAAATGGGCCCCCGTGGACCTGGTTCATCTGAGCGCATCTGGGTCTGTCCACGTGGGAGTCTAGGACCCTGTATGAGCAGGTGTATGTCCACCTGCCTGCCTGGTCTCCTGACAGTGGGCACTGGGCTGTGGCTGTGTGCTTCAGGCTGCGACTGTGTGGTTGTGCACTGGACCTCTACGGGATGAGTCTTATCAAGGGGAGGAGACATAATCTTGGAGGCTCTCTCTGGGTTGCCTGGCAACCATGTACCAGAGAGAAGAGCTCCCCCTCTTCTACCAGAAGGCCTGGCTGAGCCTCAGCCAGCCTCCCACTGGACTGGCCCAATGCCGCCAGGGTTGGGCATTTCCCAACAACCCCTGAACAGCCAGCACCCAGATTCGAACAAAAACTTTCGTCTCCTCAGTGCAAGGCCACTTCATGCTTGAGCCACAGGAGAGAGCAGAACAGGAGGGTGGGCCCCTCTGCTGGAGTCCAGCCCAGACTGAGTCTCTCCCCAGGGTGTCAAGACCACAGAGACCCTTCCACCTGGAGCCCACAGACAGGTGCCCTGGTGGTATCGGTCCAGCTCCTGCATATCACAGAACACCTTGCAT